AACATACTTCGTATTATATTGCATGTGAAATTATGTTACATTTTTTCAATGTCTACAATTATTAACTTCTTACGGAGTAAAATTTTACACGGAATTGAAAATATTAACATTGCAAAACATGTTTGAGAATTGAGAAACCGTTAATTATGAAAAATCAAATGGCATAATCTTTAAGTAATGGAGGGATTATGCAATTGTTGCGTGCTCATATATATAGTCATATTCCACATATACGAGACTCTCATGTTTTACTACGCATTGAATTAACATATTTTAACAATATCACTTATAATTAAATATATATATACACGAATTACTTTTTACTTCTAAGTTAATGAAACTTATTAGATTAACTTCGGTATTTTTACATCTATAACTCAATTTTTTTCTAGCTCAATAAACTATTCAAATTTTACAGAAAAGTGTGTCAACTAAAAAAAAACCGTAAAAAATCAAGCTCACGATCTTAATAAACCAACAAACAAATTAATATACTTTGAAAAATATACCATACTAAAAACGAAATGTTGAATTACCTGGATGAGAATCAAAGGGGTATCCAAGACATGAGTAGAACCAGGAACATCAAAAACCAATTCTTCCAAACGAGGAAAAGGCGGTTGAAGAGCATCACCAAAATCTTCAAGACTAACATCAGCATCAGCCTCAATAAACATGATCCCTTCTCCATTACACTCTACAACCAACTTCCTCCCGGCTTTCTCCCTAAGCCGACCCGCAAACGGGTAATACCACACTAAGGCCTTTGCGACGGCCTCCTTTATCACTCTGGCCGGGTCCCGGCCAGAGTGATTCTCCTCCTTCCGGTAAAATTGTATTACCGGAATTTGGAACCGGAGGCCTTCTTGGTCATCGATATCCGAGAGTTCTTTGAACTCGTACGGGGTGGGCCTAGCCGGAGCGATCAGCTCCGGGGCCCGCCTCGCAATGTTAAACATCAAGGATGTTTTTGTACCACCTATGGAATGTGTCATACTGTGTAATAATGTAGTGTGGAGTATTACTAGAGTGGAAGAGAGATGAATAATAATGTAGTTTGAGTTGGGTTTGTGAAATAATATGTGGATATTTATAGAAAATGTGGATAGAAAAACGATGAATTATTAAAATAATGTAGGGTCTTTAATTGGAAGGAGTGAAAATACAAACGAAATTGTCCATACATTTGCAAGGAAATGGTACCAACATTTTCTTATGATGCAACTAAAACATATTACATACATACCAACCCTACTTTTGTTTTTTACTTTAATTAATAATTTGATGGAAGACTTGTAATTATAGTAGTACGTAGCACTATAGTTTGAAAAGGACGTAGTCTACTTAATTGGTCATAATAATCAATAAATAATTATGTAGCTAGTGATTGAATGTCCAAGACAATGTATTTTCTTTATTTTTTGTGAATTAAGAAAAACTAAGTAATTGTTTGATATATTATGAAACAAACATAATTTTTAAGGTTTCAGAATGAATAAATAACTTATTATAAATTGATAAATTGAGGTACAGTAAGAGAACATGTCTATAATATATACTTGTATGTAATGTAACTACTGCGGAGTATAAAATTGTTGGTGGCCTCACTACTTAGCTTGCCATCTAATATTTTGCAGTAATATGTTCAAAAGACTTGTATTATCTTTGTTTTGAATCAATATGCAATGATGTTGTATTAATAATAAATACATAGTTAAGTTAGAAATAAAATTGAAATATTTGCATGCAAAAAAATGAAAAAAGTGCCATGTGGCATATATCCTTTTTTCAATGTATTTTTCATATTGTCCATTTATGCTAGCCAAATAGGAACCACAGACAAATAATAATGATGCAAAAGAAAGCTACTACGTAAGTGATAAAGGACAAAGGCAATGAAGAGGAAGAAAATGATAGAATATGCCTATTTTTATCAGAAATTTTAATAAAAAAATGTATCAAATAAAAAGAAACAAGATAAATAAATTTTGTCGGAAACAATAATATGACGGACTGACTTGTCATTTAAGTATTATTTATACTCCCTTATGGTAATATTGTAATAAAAAGTATATAAGAGGCAAAGACTTTTTAAAGAACGAATTTTATTTTCCTTCTAGTCTAATCAAAAAAGAATGAAGAAGGAAAAACGAGTAGAATTTCCTTCAATTCGTTCCTATAACACAAACTAGTAGCCAGAAGTGTCTATTTCTCCAAATTTTTTTTACCTAAAAAATTGAAAGGAAAACAAGTATTAGTTTTTTTTTTTTGGAAAAAAAAAAACAAGTATTAGTTAATACTTGCTAAGTGATTATAATTTTGTCATTTTAAAACAAAGGCCGTAATATTTTATGTATATTCTTTATTTGTTATTGAGGGATACCTAGTTAATTTTGTTTATCTGGGGGTATTATTGTTTTTTCAAGTTGCAGTGGAGGGGTATATGCATCTTTTCATGTACTAGTTGAGGGTACATGTGTAATTTCCTCACCAAACAGTAAAAGTAAAAACAAACAGTATTTAGACAGTTCACAAAAAGTACTGAATAAATGACCTTGTTTTTTTCAATATATTTACAAAAATGTCATTAGATTAACAAAAATTTGTTTATATGGCAGATTAACTTGTATTTTCCCTTTGTTTTTGGTGATTAACAAAGTAAAGTATGATCATTTTTTTGGAAAAAAAAAAAGTAATTGTGAAAAGAGTGAGAAAAGAGACCAACAATTGCAAGGAAACATCCGCCATATACTCACAATGATAACGACCGACGCAAGTCTATGAGAGGAGGAACTTTGTTTAGCATAATTCAGTTATAGTTACTTACCTCGTAAAAGTATAATTTATAAAGCTAATCTATCTATTAGTTATTAATCTTTTTTTTTGAAAGGCTATTAGTTATTAATCTATGTAAAGAAGTTGATAAATAAAATATTACGGAGTACTTTTTTTTTTTTTTGACAGGAATATTACGGAGTACTTATTGGAGCAGTTGCTAACTACTTTTATTTAGTGTTATAACGTAACGAACTTGTATAATTAAATCAGTTGATTCATTGACTAATGACTTTAATAAGACTTTAAAGTCTATACTCTATAGTCTATAGTCTTATAAGTTTGCTTTCCAGCTTGTTGAATTCTAACCTATAGCCAAGACTTCTAATAAAAAAATTAATTAAATTGAAAAATATTGTATCACTATTTACCTAAGAAATCATAATTAGGTCATAGTCTCGTAAAAAAACATTCCAATTCCTTGGTATATTGCCCGTCAAAAATAAAAGAGAATAATTCATTGAGTTTGGAGTATTTGGTAAAACTACTAAAAAATGATACTCGTAAGTCTTTATTGTTGTACAAGGTTCTGAGTTCGAATAATGCATTAGCACACCAAAATTTCAATATTTTATTACTTTAGATAAAAAAAAATATTTTTAATTATGTATCAAAAATAACTTAATTATCACAAATTCATGATGAATAAATTTTGAAAAATATGTGGCTCCACCGTTGCAAAAAATCAAAACTATAAACCTAATTTATACAACTACTTATTACAATTGATAAATCATAACTATATACGAAGTATACTCGTTGAATCAATATATTCAGTACTTTCTTTTAATGTGCATTACTTCCTTTGTGGAAAAATATGGGTTTATGGGCTTAAATGAAGAGGAGAGTATTACTGTTGGGGCAACGCCAGGAAGTAATTGTGGGCCGTGATGGACCAGCCCACCAATAGCAATCGTTCTTTAATTAGTCATTAATATTGAGATTGTGAACCTAAATGGTGCATATGGATAGCTAGATGTGTTGTGTGTAACTGTGTATTCAATTTCTTCACACTGCTTAAGCTAGTGGCGGAGCCAGAATTTCTAAGTGAAGGGGGCCAAAATTATACTTATGTATTACATTTACTTTAAAAAATAAAAATAAATAAATAAAAAATAAAATTATAAGATTTGATTCCTTGACAACTTGCATATTATTACATGGAAAAAACCAACTCCTCTACACCAAAATTAATGACAATAAAGAGTAAATCTAATTAATATCTTAAGCCAAGGGGAGGCTAAGGCCCCCGCCCCTGGCCTAAGCCTTGCGATGTACTATCATGATAGGGAAAAACTTCAACACCCGTCGACATCCTACCTATCGTCACTTAACTCCTTGATTAGGAAAATCGGTTGAGAACTAGCATTACAGTGAAATTAATCGTGTAGCAAATTAGCTAGCTTAAATCACATGAAATAGATTAAGTAAGTCATTGTTGGTCCACTGCAGGTGACTAGATTGTTAATGTTGGGGCAACGCCAGGAAGTAATTGTGGGCCGTGGATTGATCAGCCCATATCATTAGCAATCGTTGTTTAAATTTATCATTAATATTTAATACTGAGATTGTGAACCTAATGGTGCATATGTTTAGCAAGGTGTGTTGTATACTTGTATGTATTCAATTTCTTCACACCGGCTTGCGATACATCATGATAGGGAAAAACTTCCAACGACTGTCGACATCCTACACATTGTCACTAAACTCCTTGATTAGAGAACTTACCGACATTACAGTGAAACTAATCGTGTTGCAAATTGGCTAGCTTAAGTCACATGAAATAGATTAAGTCATGGTCGGTTCAGTTTCCATGTGACTACTAGATCATGAAAATATGTTAGACGATTTCATCATAAGAGTGCTAACTTAACATGTGGTATGTCCACGGGCAAACGTTTGACAAACCGGATATTACTTATCTACTTAATTATTCACAAAAGACCGTCAAAGGAAGAGTGGTGAATAGTGTAAAAGTCATAGCAGGTCAAGTAATAAAGAACGGAGAAAGTAGATATGTACATAGAGATGAGGGAAACAGACTAGATTACCCTTATTAAGGTTAATGCCATAATTAGCTAAGGTCAATCTTAACCTATTTATGCTAAAGTGAGTGAGAATAAGATAAAGTTAAAGTATAAACAAAAGCATAATTGACATACTAATATAGTAATATGAATTGAATAGGAAAAAGAGGTTCAAATAAGCAGATAGAGACAGTTTGCTAAGACATACTTACAAAAGAGAAAGTAAAAGATAGGATATATTAGGCTAATGGTGCAACTATTAAATAGGACTACGAGCAGAAGATTCCATCCAGGGATACATAATAGGATGGCATGTAGAACAAGGCACTTCCAGAGGATGGAAGATTCCCCCCTTAGCATATGTTGTAACACCACCTTGAGCAAAGAAAAATAAAATAAAAAATTAGAATTCATTATTGTTACCTACAAGATGAAAACAAACAAGAGTAAGGGCACGTTCTGATTGACTGAACTGAGTTGATTAGATTACCATTACCTATACCGGTATTCAATAAACAAGGTTTTAATATCTGGCAGCGACGAACAGCATCCCCGCGATCATCAGCATTGATTATCTTGTCACCCCAGAGCTCAACAAAGAAGAGTTGTATCTCAGGATAAGGAGAGGTCTTATTTTTAACCCTCCCAGCTAAGAAGTTAGCATGGTAAATTGAATGCCTTTCACCATCAACCATTCCATCGGTATTACTATATGGCAATGCTGCTACAATCTGATATTCTGGACTAATAATACTACCATTCTCTTCATTATAAAATTCTAGCAGCGAATTTCACACAAAGCATAAAGTAATGATAAGATGCTGGTCTTTCATCAAGTATTGGCAGAATTCGATCTAGACGCAGTTTCCTTTTTCAGTTATCAATGAGTGACAATCTCGTTCAGGACTATACTTCAACTCGGCTGAAAATACGACTTTCCTGACAAATATGTACATGCTTATTTTTAGATTCGTTTCGCTTGTCATTGCACAAATTCAGATACTTAATTAACAATCGGAGTGATTTCTCACAATAATAAATATAACTAATTCCTTTCATATTGCTTTTATTTGAACGATTTCCCATAATATTGTTGAAATAAAAATCAATTCCCATAATACATTGATTTTAAAATAAATTCCCTACATAGTGTCCACGTAGGATCGTTTTTTTTGCTTTTGGTTCAACTTAAAACCGTTAATGGTAATAGCGGTTTTAAAAAAGAGACCGCCTCTAACAATAGGTTAATTCAAAAGGCTTAGAAGATTATTTCAAAGAGACCGCCTCTTAATACGACAGGTCTCTTTGCGTGACAATTACACTTATAACTTCAAAGAGACCGCCTTTCAATAAAAACAGGTCTCTTTGACTTTATTTTACCAAAATTGTAAAACCGCTGATACCGTTAGCGTTTTAAGTTGAACCGAAAACCAATCCTACGTGGACACTACTTTGGGAATTTATTTTTAAAACGAAGTATAATGGGAATTAATTTCTATTTCAATAATATTGGAAATCGTTCGCTTTTATTTACTTGCAACACAACCTTGTGACACACGCTAAATTTCAGAATCTCAGGATTGTATATACTACCCGTTACAGGTTATGTGCAACGGTTAGACATTTTTCCTCTACGTTGTTTTATGTCAAATCGTTGCACATGACCTGTAACGGAGGTAGTATATATTGTTAACTGAAAATCAACAATAAAAAGAAAAATCAACATATAATAAACCTGGGCACGGGATCGCCAACAATAATCCGATTACAGTAGCCAAGAGTAAGCAGAGTCCGTAGACCAATTGGCCTGCAAACAAAAATAAAAAATAAAAAACTGATTGCCAATAATCAGAATAATATTTCCTACGAATAATAATAAAATGAAAAGGAGAGAAATACTGATCGGATGATGAATTGAGAAAACAAATTGGGTGGTCTTCATAAACGTTTTGAAATATATTGGCCAGTACTCCGTGTTTATCCGCCGCCATGATTTTTGTCAATTGTTCCACAAAAAGGAAGAGCAATGAATTCGTTTCAAAAAAGAAAAAAGAAAAAAGAAAGAAGATCAATGAATAACAACACAAGTAGGTAATAGGTATAGCCGCATACGAACATAAGAAGGGTTTCTACCTTATAGTTGTTGTGGGCCGTTGATCATTTTTTAATCTACGCTTTGGATTTGTTTTCAAAGAGGTGGCATTTGTCTGGATCTCAACATGATCCAGACCGGGCCATGGTTAAATAATCTGGCCCATAATTCAACATTATTATTATTATTACTCCAACCTACAATAAATTAGAGGGAAGTTGTAATACAATATGGACCCCCACTCCTCTAGTTATAGTCTATGATGCACGGACACGCCTGCCAAGTGGCGTGTCCGAGTCGACACGCGTGTCGGACACGGACACGCGTGGGACACGGGGGGATACGTCTTGGACACGCGAAAATCCGTGTCCGTTTTTTTTTGAATTTCTTCTGTACGGACACGGGCCGTGTCTCACCCAGACACGGTCCGTTTTGTGATGGACTCGCAATTACGGCTTTACAAGCCCAACTTCCTCCATTCTCTCTGACTCTCTCACATTCTCAATTCCTCCATTCACAATTCACAAACCTACTGCCTTACTCAAGCTCCCTGAGTCCCAGACCGTCAGCCACTCACCGTCGCGCCGATAACCGCCGTCGCTTCACCTGCTGCTGCTGGTCCAGACCGTCACTCAGTTCACCGTCGCTTCGTCGCCTACAGCCTACTCTCACAGAGACACAGACTTCACTCGCCGCTCGTTGTTCGTCCTCAGCCACCACCCCAGTGTCGCCAGCCACCAGTCCACCAGACCACCACCAGGTAACTCGCTCAACCTAGGTTTCAGGCCGTGGCTTGACTGGCTTCTGTACTTTGTTTTTTTTTTTTTAAATTCAATTAATTCAGTCGCTAACTCGCTCAACCTAGGTTTCAGGCTGTCGTTGTTCGTCCTCAGCCACCAGTCCACCACCCAGTACCGTCCGTCGCCACTCGCCAGCCACCAGTTCACCACCAGGTAAGGGTTATGTGACTTCTGTCTTCTGTACTTTGTTTTCTTAAATTCAATTGCTGAATGCTGATGTTAATTGTGAGGTGGAGCCATGGAGGCAGTATCACTGTAATTCGCAATTGTTAATTGTTAAATGTGATGTTAATTGTTAATTGTGATGTTAATTGTGAGATGGGTTCAGCTGTCAAATTGTATTGTGCCCTGGTTGCTGAAATTGTATTGTATTGTTGACTCGCTGACTTGCTGGTTGCTGAAATTGTATTGCTGAGTTGTTGACTTGCTGGTTGCTGAAATTGTATTGCTGACTTGCTGGTTGCTGAAATTGTATTGTTGTGTTGCTCACTTTGCTGTGTTGTCTTGCTGAAATGTGCTGTTGTGTTGCTGAAATTGTCAGGAATGTCTTCTAGTTCCTCTGCTTCATGCAATGTCAGTGGTAGTAGTAATTCATCTGAGTCAATGAAAGACCTCTACCCTTTGTGGAAGTTTGTTGTTAAGGGTGATAAAATATCGGGTGGTGGAGGAAATTATAATTGGAAATGTAACTTTTGCGGCGAAGTTAAAAATGGTTCATACACTAGAGTGAAAGCTCATTTGCTAGGTGAACAAGGGAAAGGGATTCAAACTTGTAATAAAGTAAAAATTGATGACCTTGCTAAACTAAGATCGCTTCATCGTGAATCCGAGGATTATAAAAAATCTTTGTTACCAAAAGTTCCACCTTTTTCAAATGAACCCATATCTTCTCACACATCAACTGAAGCTACATCAATGAGACTAGGTTCATTTGATAATGTAAAGAAGAGGAAATCAAAAAAATACAATTTCCGATGCTTTTAATGTGAAATCTCGTGACCACTTGGATTCTGAAATTGCTAGAATGTTTTACACAGGGGGGTTGCCTTTTAATCTTGCTAGAAACCCTTACTATGTTAGTTCATATACAATGGCTGCCAATTCTAATCTCTCTGGTTATAAGCCTCCCGGATACAACAAACTTAGAACAACTTTGCTTTGTAAAGAGACAGAAAATGTGGATAGGTTATTACAACCTATGAAAGCCACATGGAAAACAAAAGGTGTTAGCATTGTTAGTGATGGGTGGAGTGATCCACAAAGAAGGCCTTTGATTAACATTATGATTGCTTCTGAAACGGGTCCTATGTTTATGAAAGCTATTGATTGCTCGGGTGAGATTAAGGACAAAGATTTCATTGCTACCTTACTAAGTGAGGTGATTGATGAAATTGGAGATCAAAATGTTGTTCAAATAATCACAGATAATGCAAGTAATTGTAAGGCTGCAGGGGAATTGGTTGAGGGTAGGTATCCTCATATATATTGGACACCATGTGTTGTTCATACACTTAATCTTGCAATGAAAAGCATCTGTGCAGCTAAGAATGTGTTGAATAATGTTGAAGTATATGATGAATGTCATTGGATAACGGAAGTTCATGCAGATGCCTTGTTCATTAAAAATTACATAATGAATCATTCGATGAGGCTTTCAATGTTCAATAAGTTTTCGCCATTAAAACTACTTTGCATTGCCGACACTCGTTTTGCTTCAATTGTGTGCATGATTAAAAGGTTGAAACTCCTTAAAACATCACTTCAATCAATGGTTATTAGTGAGAATTGGTCCTTATACAAGGATGATCGACGCGGGCAAGCCTCACATGTAAGGGAAAAGATTTTGGATGAAATATGGTGGGAAAAAGTTGATTACATTCTTGATTTTACACGCCCAATCTATGAGATGATTAGGGTTTGTGACACCGACAAATCTTCCTTGCATTTGGTTTATGAAAGATGGGACATTATGGTTCAAAAGGTGAAAGATGCCATCTACAAGAAAGAGGGTAAACTAGATTATGAACAATCTACCTTCTTTAATGTAGTTAAAGGGATTCTTAGTAGTCGTTGGAGTAAGGGTAGTACTCCACTTCATTCATTAGCACATTCTTTGAATCCAAGGTAAGTTTTACTTATTTAATTCATCTTTATTTATTTTTCCTTGTTTTTTATTTAATTTCTTATGACTATTCTTATTTTGTTGTTAAAGATTTTACACGAAAGAATGGCTTAATGAGGTCCCGGGACGAGTTGCTCCAAATGCCGACAATGAAATTTCCACACAAAGATTACAATGCTTTCGAAGGCTTTTCCAAAGTCCCGATGAAAGATTCAAGATCAACACGGAATTTGCAATATTCTCACAAAAATCAGAGGGGATCTTTCTCAACATTGATTGCATGCATGATATGGCTTTGATGGATGCTAAAAATTGGTGGGCAACTTATGGTTCCCAAGTGCCTATGCTTCAAGGTTTGGCTTATAAGCTATTAGGTCAACCTTCTTCCTCTTCTTGTAGTGAAAGGAATTGGAGCACCTATAAGTTTATTCATTCTTGCACTAGAAATAAGCTTACTCCTAAACGTGCTCAAGACTTGGTATACATTCATAACAACCTTCGATTACTTTCTAGGAGAAGTGAAGAATACACTAAGGGGAGATCTAAGTTGTGGGATGTGGGTGGAGATGAGCATGACAACCTAGGAGAGGTTGGTATTCTAGAGATGGCCGAGCTCTCACTTGATGAACCCGAGATGGAGAATATGATTTTTGATGATGTACTTGGTGATGGTGAAGAATGAAACTATTAGTACTTTTGTTTATTTTATTTATGATTTGTAAAACTATTATTAAGACATGTATTTGGTTTGATGGTTTCTTGATATGTATGAGACTACGTTCGTACACTTTGTTTATTTACTTGTTTTAACAAAATTGTGTGTTTTGAGGCTAATTATTTAGTGTTTTATTGAATAGGTTGTCAAATTCTCGTTTTTTTGATATATTATATGCCTTGTTATATGCCGTACCCGTGTCCCCTATTTCAGGATTGCCGTTTTCCCGTGTCCGTATCGTGTCCGTGTCCGTGTCCGTGTCGGTATCCGTGCAACATAGGTTATAGTAAAGCATACCCTAGTGAATATATGAGCTGCAGCACGAGCACCAATGTCTTGCGTCGTCGAAAACTTCTGAATCCGCTTTAGCAACGCAACAGTCTCCTTCTCTAATTCCCCAAGCAAAAAAAAAGGACAAGGGAATGAAACCATATTCAATCGCCAGACAACGAGCTTCATACTTAACCCGCTTCCGATGAGCTGCATCAGCCACAACCCGTCTCGGAACAAAGTCAGATAGCCCTGTCTATGTCAAAGGAGAAGACCCTATTATTATTATAAAAAAAACTATAAAGTCAACCAATTTATAAGAAATTGGTGGGTAGTCGAGATACAATTTGAGCCCCACTCCTCTAGGTATAGTGAACCGGATCTCGTTGAAGATGTGAGCAGCTGCACGAGCACCAATAGCCTGAGTCTTAGCGAACGCCTGAACCAATATCTTGAGTCTTAGCAGACAAAGTGGTTGTTATTATTATTATTATTGTTATTATTATTATTTTTGTTTTTTTTTCCTATTATTATAATTATATCACAAAAACAGACAGAGTTATATAACCTATAGAAAATTAGTGGGAAACCAAGATACAATCTACCCCCACTCCTCTAGATAGGCGAGTTTAGTAATTATATGAGCTACAACACGCACCTTAATGTCATGAATTTTCGAGAACTTCTAGATCCACTTCAGCAATGCAACAACCTCCTTTCTAACTCCACAAGAGAAGAGAAGAGAAAGAGAAAGGAAGGATTACAATGGGTGGCATTATAGTAAGGGTGTTATAAGCCATAATGACCATCCACAATAAACATATTTTATAACAATAAACTAATAATTCAGGTGATTTCTACCTAACAAAGAAGACAAACAATTTAGCAAGGTCATTTATGTTACAAGGAACTAGAAATAGAGGAAAGTTAGATATTTACAAATGCATAATAAGGGGTATTTACAAATGGATCAACTATTTGTTTTTGTCTATCCTCCGTCCCTAGAAATTTCAACTGCATTGGTACCTACGCATGAGTATACTTTTGTAGTTTTATACTTTTATACATGTGGAATCACCGACGCATAGCAAAATTAAAAGAAGGAAAAGCATGTATATGTGCAAACCTCTTGAGATTAAAAAGAAAAGATGTACATTCATATTCACCAAACACTTTTTTTTTCTTCTTTTTTTTCAAATTATGGAAAAATTTGTTAAAATTTTGTCAACATTAGTGGATTTTCTCAAAATAAGTTCAGCTTTTGATCAACTCAAAATAAGCTTTCGAATAATAAAACTGACTTAGGGTTTGTTTTGATTTACTAAATTGAACTAAAATTAAGCTGAATAGAACAAACCCTAAATATTGTTCTTAATAAATTATTAATCTATTTTATATTCCCAAAAAAGCATCTAGGACAACTTTATAGTCCACCCCAATAATTATTTTTTTACAAGGTTTTATTTATTTATTTATTTTATTTTAACCATTGAATATACTCTACAGTTTATATACAGCATAATAAAAAAAATGGGTAATGTTATATGTAGCCCTAGGGCTATATATAAGCACTACATATACTCTTGGAAATTGTATAAAATTATGAATTCATGACAAAAACACGCGTAAATCAGTGTTATTAGTGTTTATATTTTGATGATTTCTTAACTTTTTACGATTTTTAAATGTAAATCTAATGCTGATATATAACCCTAAGGGCTATGTATAACATTTCTAAAAAAATTTAACTACTTACAGTTTGAATTACCAAATATTAAAAATCCAAGCATAGTCAAGCACTAACTAGTAACATAAAAACTATGAAGTTGGGCATGTTCGATAAATCATGAACTGGACCAGAAACAGAATGATGGAATAAACAGCATCAGTATGATAATATAGATAAATGTCTTGTAGAAGGTCTGAGATAGCCACCGAAGTGTTTTTAATCCCATACAGATATCAACAACCAAAGTACAGGAAACATCAGAATTTTTTTTAGAACATAAGCATCTGAAGGTTATTGCATAGCCAACCAAACGATATTTAGACCCTTTTTCAATGAAAGAGGCATCTGTTGGACGTTTTCCACTCAAGACCTCCAGATTCCAGAACGAGAACGCCAAAGCTATAAACATCTGTACGTCTTCTCATTCCACTTTGCATATACTCTATTGGGCAAAGTTCACTGCTAGTAGAATTCAAACATAATTTTCAATGTACTGATAGGAAGAAGCTCAGACATATAGTCATTACGGAGTACTAAATACTATGACTACTTAGCATATTACAGAGCCACAAAAGTTACTATTTTCGAAAGGCATACAATCGTTTCAGTTCCCTACATATTTATCACCACTCTAAACTCCAGATATAAACCAGGATTTTAATATCAACCAAGAAAAACCAAAAATTTAGGGATTGTTTGGTCATCAAATCTACAAAAGGAAGAGGCTTAAATTCTTGATGATGCAAATAAAACCATAGTGTTGCCAACCACAGCCTTTGGCTCCTTCTCTAATTATATAATTAACCCTCTAACAGTATCCTGAGGTGAATTTGCTGATTCATTAACACTAGTCAGAAGCATGCAAAACAACTTGGGTATCAATTTTTCAGCTATGTTATGACCACATAAAGCATCATTAAATTATACTACTAATGATCAGCTCAATCAGATATCACCAATCTTTGTATGATACAAAGAAATTCCTTAGGCAGCTTGTACTGGCAGACTTGTATTTTTGATTATTTGTAATGCAGGTCTTTAGAAATCAACAATATGTATGAATATGAAGGGATAAAGGAAGGGTTGGTAAAGTGTGGGATACATTTTCCCTAATTCGGATATGACATAGGGCAAGAGAAGGAAAAAAAAAAAAAAAATAGAGGGATCCATTTTCCTTCTCCAATTAAGAGAACCAAATCTTTCTATTGTTGGAGAGATTTAGAAGGAAAATGAAAAGTCACTCTTTCCTCTTTTGTCCTTCATTCATCTCCCTTTCACTTCAGTATTGTTATTTTAGATAGAGTGTGAGTCTCAATATGTAATGAATACAGCAAAGATATTCCATCATATCTATTGGATGCAAAACATAACATAAGAGCCATGAAATCACAGCTTATGGACCCTTACCACTGCACACCCCACTTCCTCTATCAAAGCATAATCTAATCTTTCCCACCCCCTCCATTGAGCACCTGAACACCTCCCCGGATGAATTCCCAAAGACCCCTATTGTGGGGACTGGGGAGTTTGCAAAAAAAAAAAAAAGTTAAAAATAAATTACAAGCGGGGATTGGATGCCTAATCCTCTGGCTTTGATTAAGGTAATTTACATTCAATAAACTCAATTATAAACTAAATTCAAAACCAATTTAAATATTGACATAATCATCAGTATCTTCCACATTAAGGAAACTCGTTCCACATCAAATTCTTCCATCAACTTTCTACGCCAGTTTTCTAACAATCATCAAGACTCTCACTCAATCAACTAAATTCCGCCAGTTCAAACTTACGACACAATCGGCATCCAAAAACAAGCAATTCTTACATTCACACGGAAAAACAAATAAACATCGTTATTACACACGTTAATCAGCCGCAAAAATTCCTTAATCCAGAGCCAAAGAACAGCAAGACCTCATTTCAAACTGAGAAATAAACGATTCAAAACAACAAACAACTTCCAAAACAAGCATTTCAGATCAGAAAACTACTTTAGGTTTCCGGCGAAAACCACACAAGTCTTCAATCGGAATTGATTCAAGAAATCAAATCAATCAACAAAAAAAAAGACAAACACAATCAAGAAAAACACGAAACTCTATAAATGAGGAGAGAGAAAGAGAAATTACATAAAGCGATGAGCAGACAAGGGCCATTGTTGTTCTGAAGAATAATAGGAGTAGAACGACCGAAATAATCTATTGTCTTGGTTTTGTAAAAAACACTTTCAGGAGCAGGTTCATCTGTAGATTGTTCTTCAGGTTGTGGTTGTTGTTGTTGTTCTTCCACCTCCGAAGAAGCCATGGCCGACCTCTCTGGTGCTGGTTTAGGAGAGAGAAAATGAGAGAATGATGGTTTTAATGTTTCTTTAGTTTTCTTATGACACAAGTTTGTAATGTTTTTGTGAGTGGTGGCGATTTTGAAACGAAAATATGAGACTGAATTGGAAAGGTCTAGTTTAAAGTATTTTTCCGTATTAAAAGTTTGGCGCTAAAATAAACAGTACGTGTGGGTTTGTGTGAGAGAGCTAAGGGTAAGTTTTTCCCCAAATTCGGACCTAGACTCCAAAGTCCAGATTAGGGATGTCAATAGGTCGGATTTGAATTGGGTATAGATGAACTCGAATTCAAATCCGTTTAGGGATGTCAATAGATTGGATTTGAATTGGGTACAGATGAACTCGAATTCAAATATGTTTTTTCTACCTTGGATCAGTCGGGTCTGGAAAATAAAATAGGTTCGGGTTCAAAACAGACCCTATATATTTTTTAATTCCTAATTTATTGCAATAAATGTAATGTTCGAGTAAAAAAATTCTCATTTCAAACTAATCCAAAAATACAAAGCAACCAACTTATATACTTCTCATTTGAAAGGAAAAAAAAAACACTTTACAAACAATAATAAAATATGATGTTACAAATGAGCAACCGAAAAAACAACAATGGTGTATCCAATATGAGCA